ATGTGATTTTGATGAAAAAAGTTGATATGCGCGGTGGTCAAAACTAAAGTATAGGACGAACAAAAATGCCAACCAAAACAGATAGCATAATCTAATTATAGACTCTTTGGGTAACACAAATGTATTTATCAAAATTCCAGCTAATCCTATTAAAGTTTTGCATATTTCTTAGTATTTTAAAATTGTTTATGCCATTTCTATAAAATACTCTAGTACCATTATCAAATGTTTTTAGAAATTTGGCAGATACATGACTGAAATATGGATAAATTACATTATAAATACAAAATAATGTAAAATACAGTTTGCAATATCTTATTTATTGTTTTAAGGTACCTAATACAAAACTAATAAATAACTAAAGATTCTTAGAAGCAAAATCGATTACTGCTTGCCTTAAATTTTCAGTAAAACTTTTTCTTGGGTTTTACATGGAATTGTTTTTAACATGGAAACAGTATTTTTAAGTTCTTTAGTCTCTGTACAAACATGCTTATTACATCTAGCGATATCCCCTAGAAATTCTTGGCTGCCGCGAAATTCTCTGGCAATTTCTAAATTTTGAAAATTTGGCAATTGTGGCTATGCAAAAATACCGTTTTTACCATATTAAAGTAGGTAATTCTGAATCACTTAAGTTAAAGTGTTCGTTTGAAAAAGTCTGCAGTAATTTTTATATTTTCTCAGAATTTTTCGATTACCAAAAACAATTTTGTCTCCACAGCCAGCACATACCTTCTTTTGATTTTCTTCATGACTTAACTTGAATTTCGGTTTAATTTTCATTTTAAAATACTATTTTTAACTTTATACATTAAATAAACAACTAAAGCAAAATGTCACTTGCGTTATAACGTATAGCAATTTTTTTCATAACCACCTTAATTATTGTTTTACAAAATTTGCAAGTTGTAATTATTTCATAGACAAACTTCCAGTATTTTTTGTTATAAAAAATATTTAAGATAAATCTTCGTTTTTTTTGTTATGTTTTGTTTTGAGTGGTAAAAATAATAGGTGACTCAATAAATTAATACTGGGGAGTAAAGTAATTTAAATGATACAAAGTTTATTATTTTGCTTAATTTTATTATAATTGTACAGGTAGTTTTAGTACAATAATTGCAAAATAATATATAAATAATAATAATAATAATAATAATAATATATAAATAATAATAATAATTGCAAAATAATATATAAATAGAAAAACAAAAAAGTTTGCAAAACTTTAAAATAGGATCAGCTGGGATTTTGATAAATACATGGTGTTACCAAACGGGTCTATAATCAAAATATGTCATATGTTTTGGTTTGCATTTTTGTTCGTCCTATACTTAAGTTTTGACCACCGTGTATGGATATCGTCATTTGCTACCCTTTTGATACAGAAAAAGTGCCCAAATATTTTTGACCAAGTTTTAGGTCAAAATACTTATCTGTGCACCGTTAGCAGTACGGCAACATTCGGCTCTTTTTACTGCTTCATTGAAGCCTTTTAACCATGATTGTACTATTTTTAATAATTTTAAACCCGGCGCATTCGCCATTCTAGCCATTCAATGCTTGATCTCGTGTAAGACATTGGGCTCTGTTTTACTTGATATTTTTTTAAATTTCATTACACGTTTCGGGGAAAGTTTCTTAGGTCATTTTACCTACAATAACTGCAGCTTTTGGCTATCCACTTTTTCTTAGCCTTGTCTGAACAGCAAAAATCAGTTCATCTGCGCTACAAGTTGTTGTTAACGCCAATTTGCTTAGACCTGGTAGGTACCGCCTTTTTTAAAGCTTTTAAAAAGTCTTCAAAGTTTTGAATCGTTTATAGGTACTAAACTGTTTTTTTAATTAAATAAGAAGTGTTACACTTATTTTATTAAAAAAAAGTAGATTTAATGTTGTTCCTTCTTTTCCATCTGAATTCAATATTTTTAATAAATTTTATACATATATTTCCTTAAGATAAAACAATTATTCCAATGCATCACAGCAATTATTTCTTTTTAACTTAACTAACAGAATTTATGTGGAGTACCTAATTTTTCATTTAACGTAGTCATATAGGTAGTTACTTTTAAAAAGTATTTAGGGGGCATCCATTAATTACGTGAGGTATTTAGGGAGGAAGGGGGTCGAGCCAAACCTCACCCAATCTCACGTGGGGGGAGGGTGGTCTCGGCAAATATCACGTAATTTTTTTCTTTACAAATGAAACAGCGTAAAATTGCGAGAAAATTTGGTTAAATTAAGTAAACAATTATAAGCAAATTGTTTTTTTTTTAATAAATCTAATTTAATAAATCGCAGATTAACTTATTTACATTAAAACCATGCATTTTAAAACATCTCACGTGAGATTAAGGGAGGGGAAAGGGGGTCGAGCAAAATCTCACGACATCTCACCAAGGGGAGGGGGGAGTCGAAAAATCGCCAAAATTGCCTCACGTAATTAATGGACGACCCCTTACCTACTACATCTGTAAACTTTTGCAATTTTTTAAAACCTTAAGAACGTTCGTAGACCATATCAGTGATTGCACCAAAGTAAAAAAATTATTTTTACAAAACTATGGTACCTATAAACACAAAAAAAAATTAAAACCTACATTGGGATACTATTGTAAAAACATAAAATTACCCCAATCAATTCGTAAACACACTAGCAAAAATAACACGGAGATAAAAAACCCATAACTGGTTATTATGCGGCTACATAAGTTTCGATTGTGATTTAAAATAATTGAATGAAATTAAATTGAATATTTCTTTTTTCAAGCTTTAATTTTTGATGATAACTAATACATATCTTGCCAGATGACACTATTGGTAAAGTAACCAACTTTCTAAAATAAAAAACAAGGACACAACATACCCGTCCTTGCCCTAAACAAAATTTATTTTATTTATTATTTAAAAAAAAGATGCTAATAAAGTTAATATAAAAATTGTCTCGAAGGTATACTCCCAAAAATTCAGATTATTAAATTAATTTTTAACCTGAGCCCCGACCACTTTTATTAAAAAATAATGTGACAAATCCTAAAAAAGTGAAAAAAGTCATAATTTTTTTTTCACACGAGGTTTTTTCTTACTTTTTACACTTAAATGTACTTCGAAAGTTTTAGATTTTTAAATTAATTTTTAACCTGAGCCCCGACCACTAATTGCTAATAACGTCAATAATAAAAAAATTAGTATAAACCAGGACCAAACCTGCAAAAACCGGGACAAAACCAGTACACAATTAAAACCAGGAGACATTAGCAAAAACCAGAACCTGTCCGGGGTAAACTAGGACGGTTGGTCACCTTAACTATTGGAAGTAACCATTGGAATTACTGTTTGCTTATTTTGTGTCGCATACTTTTACCTGCCTCGTTGCTTTTTTTATATTCCCAATTTAATAGAATTCACATCCAGGGGTAGTCATGCGCCACGCGTCGCTTAGAGAAATTTCTTATTGATAAGGATTTTTCCTTATTGATATCGACTGATAAGGAAAAAATCAGAACACAACGTTCACAAAACGTTGAACGCTGGTCTCGCTGATTTTAAAGTGGTTTACCCCTCGATTCACATACTATGTTTTGATTGCATCCCCCTTATGCACTGACTCGACCGTTGTACAGGGTGATAACCTATAATGTCGCCCCCTTTTTATTTTAAGTGTGGTTATGTCGGTACTGAAAAATACTTTTTTCTACGTATAAAAAAATAGGAAAATTGATCAGTATACAGGGAAAAACAAAAAGTTTTTTTTTTCAATGGATCAGCCTATATAATAAGAGGAGTAAAATGGTTCTTCTTAGCACTTTAAGGCCTCATTTGAGGTTTACAAGTACCTCTGTAATAAACACAAGGTTTAAAACAATTATTAATTTGTTTAACAGCACAGACCCAAAGCACAAGAATTGTAAACAAAAATGGCCGCCATTAGATTCAAGGCAATGTTGCAGTACGTGATTTTTAGCATTGATTAAGGTACTACTTTACCGTTAACGGTTTGAGTATGCGTGAAACGAGATAGAACAGACCTTGTTGTGTGGATTATTATCTTTGCGCTGTACCACACACCAACTTTTTTTTAGTTTAGTAGGTGCCAGAGTTTGATTACTATACTCTATGAGTTTGATATTCTGATCAAAATTTAAGGAATGCTAGGATTAGTAATAATTATTACTACTTAAGTCACGTACGTAATAAACATGAGTTGGACAAATCTTTGATAGTTTTGATTTTATGGGAGCCGGGAGGTACATAATATGTACCAGAAATATCCACTTGAAGGGCAAGATACATACACTATGCCCTGGTGACCCCGGTTACCAGCATAAAAAATACGGGTTTTAGATTTTTTTACGGAAGAAAATTGAAACAGCATTGTTTTACGACGAAATCCTGCTTTTTTATTTATATTTATTGTTCAATGAAACAGCAATAAAAAACTCTTCGTTTTGTAAGGCAAATGTATAAAAATCTATTGTTTAAACCGTATGATGAATTAGCAGTACCTATCTACTGTCTGTCCACTCTAAGTTGGCTGAACTAAGGAATTTTGTTGTTTAGATATTAAAGAATTGTCGTACTGTGTGCTTTTAAAACAGATTTTATATTATAAATTATACTAGTATATAATATGTACTAGTATTATTTATAATATAAAATCTGTTTTAAAAGCACACAGTACGACAATTCTTTAATATCTAAACTACAAAATTCCTTAGTTCAGCCAACTTAAAATGGACAGACAGTAATTAAGGGTTCTTGTATTGCCATAGGCTGAATACGGGGTTGTAGACATATACCTGTATAGAATCAAAACAAAACTTAGTTGAAATGTTGAAGCGTATTATACGCTGCGTATAGGTAGGTACCTACCTATATAGGCTATACCTAAGTCTAGGGATTGAAGGTTAATTTCCAAGATTTTATATTATTTTTTAAATATAATTAAGTAAATGGTTTGTATTAATTGCAACATGATTTTGAATTCGTTTTAGTGCCCGAAGAAGAAAAACTGGGGTTTACAAATTGGAACCAAATGATAATGTCGTGTTTGAGAACCACAGGTTCCTTAGCACACTGGCTATTGGAAAAAGGTAATTTAAAAATAATAATAATAAAACCACAATTTACAACACAAAAAGTGTTAAAATAAAAATAATTATGTCGGCATAAGGTTGTTATGTCATAATATGACTCATTATACTCATCCATAAAATCAAGTCTCAACCTGTCATACATAAAATCAAGCCTCAACCTGTTTGGCAAAAGACAACTTACCTACCTATAAAATGCTGCATTTGTCTCTTGTTTGTCCTCTATTTCTTAAATAAAAATCTTTTCGTCGTTTTACATTTTAGGAAAATTTCCGAAGAACTTTTACCGCCGGGATCACACGGCATCTTTCGGCAAAAACAGTCATCATGCGACCATCACTTGACGTTTAGCGGATACGCAAGAGCGGCAAAACATTCGATCGGTAATATCGGAAACATTCTGTCAAGAAAGATGGCGGCGTCGACTTCACAACCGTCAATTCCCTGGCCAAATACTAAGGATGATTACGAATTGGGAAAAGTTATCGGTTAGTATAAACGGTATTTTAATCTGGAAGAAAAGTGCTTTAATTTGGTGTATCATGCGTGTATGGTCAACAAGTGTTTCGAGTGAAAAATTCAAGTTTTAAGGTTACTTGTAGGTTATGTACTTTTTTGGTGTTTCTATTCCGGTTCGACTTTTTTCAGTTTTAAGAGCATTTCATTGCTAATTAAGGAGATGTGCGTATTTTTAGAATTACGGCCAAGGTAGTGAGGACTTTCGTTTAACCGATTTTCTTTATTTCAATACATTTTTAAGGGGGGTGTGTCGAATTTTTGTGTTCATCGTCTTTTAATTCATGTGTTTACTTTTATTTGTATCACTCAATTGAATCAATTGACCCTTTATTTATTAGTTTAATTGATTATTAATATTATTGTGATTGTACTTTGAATTAAAAGTTCAATGACTCTACAATTGACATTTTTTTCTGCTCCAGAGTTTTTTAGTTGTATTTTTATTCTAATTATAGCATGTAAAATAAACAAACACTTCAGACTGTAAATCTGCATTTTCCAAAAATATCCCATACAGTTTTATTAACCATATTTTTGCAATGTAAACTTTGGTCTAAATTTTTTTTGTTTTTTAATATAACTCACAATTAGGAATATGTATTCTTTATTTGTAGCTAATAAGTACCTATCAATATTTAGTTACCAACTTATTTGTAAGAAGATGTTTTTTTTTTAAATATTGGACGTTTTTGTGTATTAAATTTGTATCTTTAAAGGTGTGGGGGCCACAGCAACAGTACATCAAGCCTATTGCAAGCCAAGGAATGAAAAATGTGCCATAAAAAAGATAAACCTTGAAAAATGGAACACCTCAATGGACGAGCTATTAAAAGAGATACAGGCAATGTCTAGCTGTAATCACGAAAATGTGGTAACTTACTACACCAGTTTTGTTGTTCGGGATGAACTGTGGCTTGTGCTGAGACTTCTAGAAGGTAGGAACAATTTTGGTTTTTACTTAATTGTCTATATATATATATATATATAGGTATTAATTAGTGCTAATGACTTAAATCATGCTTTAATAGATTTAATTATTAGGTATTTGTTATAATTGAAATACTGCCTACACTACTGTAACAATGCACAATTAATTAAGTCAATCAAGAGATTATAAGTTGTAATTAAATTTATGCAATTGTTTTTTTAGGTGGAAGTTTATTAGATATCATTAGGCACAAGATGAAAGCATCAAATTGTAAACATGGTGTTTTTGATGAAGCCACAATAGCTACTGTTTTAAGAGAGGTGCTTAAAGGACTTGAATATTTTCATAGTAATGGTCAAATTCATAGGTAAAGTTATTATAATAAAGTCAAATAATAGTCTTAATTAATTGAATTTTAGAGATATTAAAGCTGGAAATATCTTACTTGGTGAAGATGGCACAGTTCAAATTGCTGATTTTGGTGTTTCTGCCTGGTTGGCCACAGGCAGAGATTTATCCAGGCAAAAAGTAAGGCACACTTTTGTTGGAACCCCCTGTTGGATGGCTCCTGAAGTTATGGAACAGGTAAAATAACATTTTTTTCACCTTGCAGTTCTGTCCAAAAATTTTAATTATGTTTTTCGGCAGTTCTATGACAGCTCTTAGATGGTTTTATAAAAAAATTAGAAAATTTTAACACAGTCTTTTCAAAATTTTGAACAGTTTAAACAAGTTTAGACCAATTTTATGACATTTTACACATTTCTAAGGGATTTTAAAATAATTTAGTGATTTAAGTCAGTTTTTAGATGGTTTTGGGAAATTTTAGACAATAACTATTCTAAGGCAGTTTTTAGGAAGTTTTACAGAGTTTTAAACAGCTTCTAGACAATTTTAGAAGATTTTAGACCATTTGTAAGACATTTTAGAGTTACAAATTATTGTAGACAACATGATAATCTTTAAGATTTGCTGTTAACAAATATTTAAATTGTTGTCCCAAAAAAAAAGTTTAATTATTTTTTATTTTGTTATATTATATGTTTGTATGTATAGGGGAAGAAATTGTGAATTTAGTACATTTGTGGTATATACAGGGTGCACCAAGTATCCTTCTATAGGATAAAAAAGATAACCATACATATATGTATCTTTTTATTTAAAGAGCTACAAGGTCGGTTAAATTAGAAAAAAATTGCGTAATTATAAGCCTACTAAAAAGGATTTTAAAAATTAGATAAAAAATCAGCGATTGTTAAATAATAAAAAAACTGAAAACCTGTCCAAATCAAAAATCGTTATATCTTCGTTAATCCTGGGAATTTTGAAAAAAGTAAGTTTTATTCATTTTTTCATGTTAATAACGCAGCATTTCTCTAATTTAACCGACATTGTAGCTCCCCAAATAAAAAAAATACCCATAGAAGTATATTTAATATGATTTAAAAAATAGTATTTCTGCTTAAAAATTGTTTACAAAAAGTGATACGAAATTTACAGACCTGCATAATTCTATCAAGTATGTTAAATTATTAAAATAGCCTATTGTTCTAGTGTCAATATAAAATCATTTATTATACCTTATTTATTTATTTTCATTATAATAAAATAAAATGTGCTTTAAAATTCTAATTAGAAATGTTTGTGCACGTTTTTCATTTGATACTCGGAAATTCCAGATAAGTACAAATATATTTTGTTAATAAAAATCCCCTGCATTTTTATACGGTGTTTCCCTGCAGTGCTACAAATAAATAATAATATAATAAAAAATAATTCCAAGTTATACATTCATATTGTGATTGTATAAATAAGATAATTTAATGGAACCGTTATCTATGGTAAGCCCTAGATAATCTATGACGCGATGTTTTTAATTTGTTTATGGCGCCATATTTTGATCTTTAATTAAGTAAATCACGTTGTACAAATAGAGTTATTATGTTAATAATTAATATTAATAAAGAATGACCCAGAGTGCTTTACACTTTCTTTTAAGTAATTTAAGTTAAATATTATTAATAATAATACTAGCTTTTATAATAATAATAGCACCAATCACAACAAGTTCAATCTTAAAAAATCAATATGTTAGTATTTTTACGCGAAAAGTATACAGTACCGAATGCATTGAATTATATTTTACAGCAGCGACGACACCGTTTCATTTGAGTTTTCTTGCATGCTGTACTTATAGCATTTAGCATTTAAAGATTAATCAATTCCTGTTATTCTGTCAAAAAATGGTTGTATTTTTGGATTGTAAATGTCACAAATGTAACCCAGTCACTTTTAACAGTAAATTATTAATTTGGTATTATGTGTAAAATCATTATTCGTTTTGCATTTAACCCCAAAAGGTGGTTTCTTATAAAAACGTTTAAACATACAAAAATTCTCTTTTATGTTTAAACGTTTTTTTAAGGAAACAACTTTTAGTTAAATGCAAAACAAATAATGATTTTACACATTCGACTTAATTAATAACACTGTAGGGAGGTGAAAATATCACGCTTGGACACGTAACTTAATTTTTGGTCGTAAATTACAAATCCGTACTTGGTTTAGCTGTATCAGGTCAAAATTCAAAGATATTTCATTTTCAAGTTTTGGAGCATCCCATTAGGAAACACCTTGTATCAGTTCCAAATTTAATTCTTGCAAAATTTGAGGTTAACTGATCAAAAGTAACACGTGTCCCTGAGGTTCTTTTTTAGATAATTTATGAAAATTAAAAATGTTTTTTTTTATTGAGTATAATTGAGGATATTATATTATATTAAACGAAAAAAAAAGCATAGGAATCTTGGCACAAGAGGTGAAATATATAATTTTACAAATATTAATATACCAGTATACAGTGTGTCCCCGGATCGGAGTGCCAAAGGGAAAAACTTTTTTAGACTTGATACAGCTAAACCAAGCACGGATTTGGAATCTACGACCAAAAATTATGTTTACGTGTCCTAGGGTGTATCTGTGATATTTCAAGTGATTTTAAGAATGAATTATTTTTAAAAGTAAATTAACTTAAAAATAACGCAATTCGCAATGCGTTTTAAAAATGCATAGCGGACTTCGACTATACTCCAACACCAGTGACTCGACACGGAATATCTGTTGTCGCAAATTATTTCCCCACTCTCAGTGAAGTGCTTCCACTCTTTAAAACCGAATGTATCTGCTGTATACACCAAAAATAAATAAGTATAGTTTTGCTAAATACTTAATTTATTTAATAAAAAATTAACTACCCATTTAAATTTGTAATGTGAAATACAAATAATATAATATATTATGTATTTTTTGTGTTATAAATTAAGACCTTTATGGGGTTGTCCCACTCCCTATTATTGATCATAATAATTCACCCCCACCCTCCTTTGTCATCAAACGTCATCATTTACAACACCCCTGACCATGCTGACTAGTGATGAGCTAAACTGCGATATTTTAATTAACGCTGCTAACTGTTATTGCTATTTTTAAATAGCAGATTTTAAACTGCTACTGCGATCGCAACTGTTACCGGTTTAGCAGGTAGTTCTGCTAAATTGTGAAAAATTATTATTAAGTTATTCATTTCGCTGCTACATTTTTTTTCTTGAATATAAAGTTTGGGTTTTTTGGGCGTATGGGCTTATTGGTTCATACACCTAAGTAAAATGGGTTGATATAGAGTGCTGATGTTCACAAATCTATACGCCCTTCTGATATATCAAGCGGATTGATATAATAAGCCCATATTCCCAAAAAACTCAAATCCGACGATAGTGGCGCTTACGCCCTTCTGATATGACGCCCTCGATATTATGGATAAATAAATAGATGGCGCGGTCAGCAGTTGCTAACTGCTATTTTTAAGTAGCCGCTATTTAATAACAGTTAGCAATATTTTTCTCATCACTAATGCTGACATAATAATATATATTATATGGACGACCCCTTTACCTTTAATCAACCCCTATAGTCTATATGTAGACTAAAAATACATTTATTATAATATTTTTAGAAAATACGAATAAATTGGCTTCAAACTGACATACATATTGTCAATTATGTGTTTTCCATTCAAATGTAAAAGTGGGCCTTTTTGTTGTAAAGCATAGTACCTACTTACTATTAGCTATATTCGCGAAATATTTTTTAACCACTATAACATTGTTCATGCATCGTAGTTCCAAAGTATTGCAGTATCAAGCTATAATAAAGTTAGCATTTTAACAATGTAGACAATTTTAGGACCATGGTTACGATTTTAAAGCAGATATATGGTCGTTTGGCATCACCGCCATCGAAATGGCCAGTGGTACCGCCCCTTACCATAAATATCCGCCCATGAAGGTACTTATGTTGACCTTGCAGAACGACCCGCCGAATCTTGACACCGGTGCTGAAGACAAAGATCAATATAAGGTATGAGAGTTTTTGAATAGTAATTTTGTTGTTTTAATGTATGATTATTGTATTGTAGGCTTACGGAAAAACGTTTAGAAAAATGATCACTGATTGTTTGCAAAAAGAAGCCTCCAAAAGACCGACTGCTTCTGAATTACTAAAGCATCCATTTTTTAAAAAGGCCAAGGATAAGAGGTATTTGCAGCAAACGCTTGTTGCAATTGGACCCAGTCTTGAAACAAGAGTCCAAAAGGTACTGAATTCTGAACTGTTTAAAGAACAAATCTGTGGTTATTTACGCAATATTTTGTTTATTCTTTTTCTATGAGTTTGTCTATTTTATGATTCTTTTGTAAGTGGTTTATTCTGTGGGTTTAGTTAATTGAACTTGGTGATTTATGTGAATTTAGTCATTATGGATCTTACGGTGAGAAATTGTACCGATATTGTTGACCTTCACGTGGTTCTTGCTGAACAATGAAATATTAATTAGACAAAAATGAGGTTTATTTAAAATAAACGTCATTTTTACAATAAAATATATTTCATTGACAAAAGTAGAGGATTCCTTCCCCACCATAGTCTAAGTTTTTTACTTAGTTTTAAGTATAGGTTGTGAACTGCGTCAGTTTTTTTAAGTTGGGTTTAAAAAAATTTCTTCGCCTTTAAATGGGGGCGAAACGGTGCCTCTGCCTTACCAAAATGAAATGTCACGGGCCGCCACTGTAGCTAGAACGTAGGAATGACCACTGCAATTATATAATCAAGTTTTGCCACTTTCAAGGTTTGTTAAGGCAAGTTATACTTAAGTGATGTGGTTTGGTTGCCGTTACTATTCATAATCCACTTTAAAGTTTAGACAACTTTAAGGTGGTGTCAAAAGTGATCATAACGTTTTAGATACCAGATATACCAAAAAGTTATAAAACTATGAAGTATATTCTGCTGGTGCAAATCACAGTAACTGTAGTGTGGGAGATTTAGTTATTTTAAGGTAATTGCCACTCATTTGAAGTTGCGATATCAGTTTTGGTCACAGTAATGCTACTTGGTACCAAAGAAGTATAACTTCTAACACTAGGTTGGTTCTTATAAAGGACCCTAGTGTTAGTTATGCTTCTTTGGTGTAACCAAAAAAAACATTCCGCATGCAAATAATTTATGTCTATAAATAAGATGTTCAAAGAAGGAAATTAAATACAATTAAGAAAATTTTGATTAAACATAAATTTTGTAAATTTTTCGACATTTTGGGAGTTTTTAAATCTCTAAAAAAATTCAACATTGTTTTATACCTGTCAAAGCCCTTTCACTTGATGCACATGTCACGAAGGTTATGAAGAAATAGGCAATCCATATTGGATTTATTTATTTCTATATCTCTCTTACTGATGCACAGCCACTAATTTCTTACGCCACGAATACACACGCGTCCCCACTCTCACTCATCGTGTGTCAATTTTGATATAAGTTGAAAATTGAAACTTTAAATATTTTCAAACTCTTTCATTTGATACCCATGTCAAGGAGGTTGTGAAGAAATATCCATCTTACGGCGGCGCCATTTTCGATTTATTTCCATCTCTCTCTACCTCGGTGAATTTTCGTCAGTTGTGCGCGTCTCGTTCAAAAAATATAATTTTTTTTTAAACTAAATTTAAAAAAATCCCACTCATACTAATACAATGTCGATAAAAAATAAATAAAGAATCTAGCTTTCATGGTTAAAAAAATATATTATTATTATTATTGACAAATAATACACCTAAAAATCATAATAAACACTTATAACGATTTTTGCGCTCCATTAAAAAATATTTATTTATTTCTTCTTAGGCTTCGAAAAGGCAACCCGGCGCCTCCGGTCGCCTTCACCGGAAGGAAACCGGCGAATGGGTTTGGTCGAGCGAGGACGAAGCCGACGACGGCGCCTCTAGCGAGAGCGATTCGGAATCGAAGCCGATGAACACGCTCGTGTCAGCCGGAAGTTCCGGTTCCGATCACGAGAGCAGCGAAGGCGACGCGCCACCCATTAACTTAGTATTAAGAATGAGGTAAGGACCAGCGAAAAACAAGCTCACCACTGTTTATGATTTACGATTTTTTCATAGAGAACCTGTCCTCCAGTTTTACACTAGCAGGTTTGTCCCCATGTCCTTAACTTTGTCAGTCATTAAATCCTTTTAATTTATAGCCACAAATGTTTCATGAACATAATTTCAAAATATTCCCAAGGTACGTTTTTGTTATGTATTTAGGTTTATTTTCTTCTTTTAGAAATTCTAAAAGGGAATTAAACGACATCAGGTTTGAATTTGCGGTTGGTAAAGATTCAGCCGAGGGAATCGCTTCGGAATTGGTCGGAGCTGGCCTCGTCGACGGTAGAGATATACAAGCTATAACTCATAATCTGCAGAAGCTGATTGAAACGAGAGACACAAAAAAAGTAGTTACTTTTCCTTTGGTAAGTAATAATTATTGTTAAAAATATGCATAGTGTGTCTGGAGTGTGGTGTCTTAAGTGGACATTTTCACTTAGGTATCATCTAAATGAAATTATTATTTTTTTAAATTGTTTTTAGACTGTAACCAAATTGTTTAGATGATAACCAAGTAAAAGAAGAGAAATATTGGACACCCTTATAAACCCTAAAAAGATATGTCATTTTCAGTTTTTTTAAATGTTTTTTTCACATTTTTTTTTATTAATTTAATATAAAACTGCCTTTATGGACAACTAACCCTTCCAGTTATCCGGCATATGCCTATTTTTTTCTTTTTTGCCATTGGAATTACTTTTATTAATCCAATAAAGATTTAAAAGATTTGAATTTTTCCGACTAAAATTTGCGAATATTTTAGTCTTTGAGATATTTACACTTGAAAATTTCTTTAAAAAAGTTGTTTCTCTGTAATAAAAAATCCTTTAAAACAAGTCAATAAATAACCTATACTGTTGACATTCAAGTTATCATTCAGAAGATCTTCATAATAACTTGAATACTGTCCATTGATAATATCTATAAATATCAGGTGTGTTGTTTTGCCCAGGACAAAACACAAATATTAATTTTAAAAAATTACACATACACAAACAAGAAATAATAATAACTTACTACTTCCACAAGTTTACTTTTAAGTATAAATAAAATAAAAATAAATAAATAAAATAATTCTTTATTCGTCCCAAAAAAACATATAAAGGATATTTTATAGAGGGACACCTCTGTATACACATTATCATTCAGTACATATTTACATTAACAATCGTCATACACAATTCTTATAGTTTCTTAAATACACTATACACATTTATACATATATATTTACATATACATTTATCACTAATACAGTCATTATTAAATATCACAGATATACTTAAAATAAATAAAGCAAGCTTTAACCTCAACTTAAGTTTTTTTTTTTTCTTCAGTCTTTTTTAGTCCTCCCTGTAATATTGAATATAATCATTTATGTTTTTTTTAAATTTGTGACCTTTAAAATTTTTAATGCTGTTAGGCAGCCTATTATATAAATGGACTCCCCTGTAGGAAATCGAGTTCATTCCCATTTGGGAATTTACTTGAGGTAGATTCACCTCTGCATTGGCTCTTGTCGAGTGATCGTGAACATTATTTCTATAAGTGAACTTGGTATGGTCAATCATGTTTATTATAATATATATATATATATATATATATTAAAATGGGCCTAAAAAATCGACTATTTTTTTTTTAAAGTATATCGAAAATATGGTTTGGGGTGACAAAAAAAATATTGTGAAAGTTTGAGTCCATAATATTAATATTAAGAGGTCTACATCGCAATTTTAAAAAATATTTCCTCAGCAAGTTTTTGTCTCAGAACTCCCAAAGTATTGAGTTTAACAAAATTGACTTAGAAATATTTAAAAAAAAAATTAAATGCTCTACAAAAAAGATTGAAATGAAATTTTCCGTCAGATGAACCGTTTCCTTAAAATCCTGCCTTAAAAATTGGTAGTTTTACAATTTGATCTTTTAACTATGGAATTTTGTAATTCATGTAAAAATCAGTACCCAAAAAACGATAAGTATTCTTATGGGAAATCAAATGCTCTACAAAAAAAGTCTTTTATCATTTTTGGCTAAATTCACTCCATCAAAAGTTATGCAAGGTTAAATTTGAAGTCAAAAAAAATTTTAACCTTGAATAACTTTTGATTGAGTGAATTTAGCCAAAAATGTTGAGAGGCTTTTTTTGTAAAGCATTTGATTTCTCATAAGAATATTTATCGGTTTTTTATGGGTACCGATTTTTACATGAATTACAAATTTTCAATTTAAAAGGGAGAAATGTAAAACGAAACCAATTTTTAAGGCATGATTTTAAGGAAACGGTTCATCTGACTGAAAATTTTACTTTAACCTTTTTTGTAGAGCATTTCATTTTCTTAAAAAAATATTTTCGAGTCAATTTTGTTAAACTCAATGGTTTGGGAGTTCTGAGACAAAAACTTGCTAAGGAAAAAAAATTAAAATTGCGATGATAGACCTCTTAATATCAATATTATGGACTCAAACTTTTACAATAATATTTTTTGTCACCCCAAACTATATTTTCGATATACTTTTCAAAAAAAAAAATTCTTGATTTTTTTGTCCCAGTCTAATATACAAGGTGTCCCTAAACTTAGTGGCATAAATTTATGAGCAGATTAAGCAAGTCTATATAAGACGAAAATCTAAATAAAAAATTTTCCTAATTACGTATGTTTAAAAGATACCGAGTGATAAAGTATTACTTATCATATCAGTTTTTTTAATATAACTTCTATTATGGTAGACTTGGAAAGGTGATATTTTGCGAACAGTCACTACCAAAACACATATTCACACATAATTACAATTGTTCGAGTGAACACAATGTCGTAGAAACAGGGGTTGCTTAAGCTTATTGTCCCATACAAACTTTGAGGTTTGGTTTTTATACTATTTGATGCAATTTTTCGATTAATCAGTTTGGCTTCTATTAAAAAGGTGTAGCTCTCAAACTTCGATAAAATAAACCGTTTCCGAGATATTCGAGATTACAATAATTGTTATATCGCATTAAAGGATTAAAAGGTATACTTATGATAACTAATTTTGTAATTGAAAAAACTACAATTTTTTTAATGTGACGGTCAGGGCAGAAAGCCCCGAGGCTCATGGAATGCCCTTTTTAGTTTTTTCAAGTTAAAAATAAAATTTTCGGCTGAAGGACCTCGGTCAATGGCCATTTGTAAGAAATTGTATTAACTTTTTTTTGCAATAAAGTTCATTTATTATTATTATTAAATAAAATTTGTTATCATATACCTTTTAATCCTTTTAAATAATGCGATATAACAATTATTGTAATCTCGGAAACGGTTTATTTTATCGAAGTTTGAGAGGTACACCTTTTTAATAGTAGCCGAACTGAGTAATCGAAAAACTGCATTAAATTGTATAAAAAAAACCTAACCTCAAAGTTTGTATGGGACAATAAGCTTAAAGCAACCCCCGTTTCTACGACACTGTGTTCACTCAAACAATTATAATTATTTGTGAATATGTGTTTTGGGAGTAAGTGACTGTTCGCAAAATATCACCTTTCCAATACTACCATGGTAGAGGTTATATTAAAAAAACTGATATGATAAGTAACACTTTATCACCCTGTATCTTGGAAACATAAGTAATTAGGAAAAATATTTATTTGGGTTTTCGTCTTATTTTGACTTGTTCAATCTTTTCCTAAATTTATGCCAATAAGTTTAGGGACACCTTGTATATTAGGGTGTTTCAAAATAAGGCAATATTTTTCTTTTTTCAAATTCATGTGAAATTCTCGTCACTTATGCTAAAAAAAAATTCTGTCAAAATTTGAGCTCTTAATATTAATTTTTAAAGGTCCATCATCGAATTTAAAGTTTTCCCATTGATTTAACGTGGAAAAATAGTTTTTTAAGATTTATTTCGCCTGCATGCTATGTAGAACTTTTTTTTCATAAACAATCACTGGTCCTGTTTTAGCATTAAATTATCTACAAAAAATCTTACAGACTCCAGTCTGTAGATTCAACTGTTTCTTTTTTATTAACGTTGAAACGTATAAATTCTATAAATGTTCTACAAATTCGTTTTGATTAAACCTTAAAAATTATTTTCAGTACCTATTTCAAAACTGTTTTGAAGCGAAGTATAAAATTTTATTTGAAGTCAAAAGCTGGATAATGAAATTAAGAATATCATAACAGTTAAGCTATTTTAGCTTAAATTCAGCGATTAATTGAGTGTATTGAAGAATCTTGGTACGTTATTTATAGAGCTTCAAGTTTCCTGCAAAATTGTCTCCAATTTTTTTTTTCTACAGTGAATATTATAATAATATAGGTATTATGCAGAATAATAAAAATAGGATTTTAGACACTTATAACTTTTGAACTTTAGGTGATATAAAAAATTGTTTAAAACAAATTTGTAGAGCATTAAAAGATCTTTAAAATTGCTAATTAACTTTTTCTTCTAATATCAATTTTTTTTAGAATTAATACGTTTCAACGTTAATAAAAAAGAAAGAGTTGAATCTACCAACTGGACTGTAAGATTTTTTGTAGATAATTTAATGCTAAAAAGGGACCAGTGATTGTTTATCAAAAAAAAAAGTTCTACATAGCATGCAGACGAAATAAATCTTAAAAACAATTTTTCCATGTTAAATCAATGGAAAAACTTTAAATTCGATGATGGACCTTTTAAAACTAATATTAAGAGCTCAAATTTTGACAGAATTTTTTTTCAGCATAAGTGACAAAAATTTCACATGAATTTGAAAAAAGAAAAATATTATTATTTTGAAACACCCTAATATATATATATATATACAGGGTGTCACCAAATAAGTTGTCATCCTTTAAGGGGATGATAGTACACATCAAAATAAGAAAGTTTTTCATTTTTGCATTAGTGCCATATTTTTTTAATAAAAAAATTATTAAAATTTATATCAGTAAAGTAGAAATTTTGAGCCGCCACGTCCTGACCTAAGACAAATTACTAAAACATGCTCGCACAGTGGGCAATACTCTACATTTATTAAAAATTTACATCCAGTGATCTAGATGGCCAAGGAGTGGGACCGCCACGACCAATCCAGTTATAGGGAAATTCAGTATCTAAATACGCCCGTACGTTAGCTGAAAAATGTGGCGGAGCTCCATCGTGCATAAAACGTATGCGGCGAAAAATCTCTAACGGCACTTCTTCAATTAAATTAGGAAGAGCATTTTGTAAAAAATCTAAATAAGTATCACCGTTTAAACGTGCCGGAAGTCCAAAAGACCCTATTAGTTGGTTGTTTAACATGCCCGCCCAAACATTAATTGAAAACCGCCTCTGAAAGTTCGTCCTTATGGCATGCGCATTTTCATGAGCATAAATGTGCATGTTATGAAAATTT